TAGCCGCTTGAGCCACAGGCACCGAGCCTGGATATGATTTCTTAAAAATTTTTTAACATTCCTAGCCAGGCATGGTGGCTCATGCCTGTAATCCTAGAATTCTGGGAGGCAGAATGACAAGTGAGTTGCTTGAGCTACAAAGTTAGAGACCCGCCTGAGCAAGAGGGAAGATGCCATCTCTACTAAGAAATAGAAACAAACAAACACGAACAAAAAAAACTAGTCAGGTGTAATGGTACACACCTGTAGTCTCAGCTACTTGGTAGGCTGGGGCAAAAGGATTGCTCAAGCCCAAGAGTTTGAGGTTACTGTGAGCTAAGATGCCAAAGCACCCTACCCTTTCTGGGTAGGGTAAGAGTCAAACTCACAAAAACAAAACAACAACAAAAACCACAAAACTTTTTAACGTTCTCATGTTATGACTCATTTCCTACGCGACCATAAAAGACCCTTTACACTCATGCGCATGTTTTATATACACATACATACACGTATCTACACCCACAAACTCATCTCTGTTGCTCTTCTTCAGCCTGTTTAGTTTTGAAATTTTAGAGCAGGGGTAGTCAAATTATCTGCAAAAGGCCTAAATACTATTTTAGGATTCTTACATGCTTTTCTTTTTTTAACCAACTCCTTAATAATGTAAAAAGCGTTCTTGGCTCACAGGCTTTACAGAAACAAGGATTTGGTCTACACATGGTATATTTTTGCCAACCTCTGTTCTAACCCACCAAAGAACATTTCCAAGATTATAGTGAAAGAAACGTGTGGTAAGGGAGATCAGGAGGAAGGAACTGACGACATCTCCAATACAATCACTCTTTCCACAGCCACACTGCCATCTGGAGGTCTGAGATCTATTTCTCTTTTCCCCTTTTTCTCAATACTATACTAATGAGGCAAAGTCTGAGATTCATTATAGCCAATGAAAGATATTCTACCTCTGAAGGTGGGAGGTCAAAGAGAGGAAATGCCATAACTTCAAGTGTAAGAAAAGCTATCATATCAATAGTGGATTGAAAAAGAAGTACAGATAGACCAAGCACGGTGGCTGGTGTCTGAAATCCCAGCACTCTGGGAGGCTGAGGCAGGTGGACTGCTTGAGCTCACAAGTTCAAGACCAGTATGAGCAAGAGCGAGACCCTGTCTCTAAAAATAGCTGGGCATTGTTGGGGGCGCCTGTAGTCCCAGCAACTCAGGAGGCTGAGGCAAGAGTTTGAGGTTGCTGTGAGCTATGACTCCATGGCACTCTGCCTAGGGCAACAAAATGAGACTCTGTTTCAGAAAAAAAAGTACAGGTACTACAAATGTCCCACTACAGATTTCACCACATAACATTGTTATGGTATATAAAAGACAAAGAATTCTGAAATGAGCTCTATTATTTTTACTTTCATGATCTTGTCAACAAATGACATGACATGCCTGTAATCCAAGACACCTATAATTCTAGCACTCTGGGAGGCCGAGGTGGTGGATTGTCTGAGCTCACAGATTCAAGACCAGCCTGAGGTCTCAAGAACAGGTTGCTGTAAGCTATGACGCCATGGTACTCTACTGAGGGTGACAAAGTGAGACTCAGTCTCAAAAAAAAAAAAAAAAATGACATGACTGAAAAACA